GCCCGGGGAGGAAGGGGGGAGCTGTTTATGTTCTGCCAGAAGAAGGGGCCGCAGCTGTCGCCTCTCTGACTGGGCGGCCAGGAGGGCAGGGGCAGAGGGCAGGGGAGGCACAGGTGGTCTGCTTGGCGGGTGGGACTGCAGTGTAGGGAGTAGGTCGCCAGGAGGAGCCTTTGTTCCCTGCTGGCCAGATTGGGGGGGGCCTCCCTCCCCCGCCCTGCATTTCTCCCTCCTTCACCACCTCCCTCACATCTTGGGCAGCAGCAGGACAATCATTCGCCCTCGGTGCCCATCCTCCAGCGGGACCTCAGTGGCTGCTGGGCGGCATGTGCCTCCTCCCCACGCGCTCTGCCCCCACCTCCCGTGTCTTCCATCTGGGGTATTAGCTGGGCACCCCGGTGAAGAGGCAGGGGCCTCGGGGGAGGAGCACAGGGCTGTCCTTCTGTCCTTGGCCCCTGACTAAGGAAAGCTGCTAGTAGTCAGCCTGTTTACCCTTAAAAAAAAAAGTCAGGGTGCTCAACTTAAAAAAAAAAGCATGTCATTTGCACAAATTTGCATATCAGGCTCACTAAGTCCTAATTCCAAATATGATTATATTCAAGCTCAACTTTGAGGACATTAGAAATAGAGGAGGTTTTGTGTCCAGATCCAGGTGGTAATAGGGTTACCATGCGGGGTTCAGGTGCCCCCAGCCCCCATCTTTTCCGGGAGCTCCCCTTCCCTGGAGCCCCACCATGGGAGGGGGAGGGAGGGGGTGCTTTAGAATGGCAGGAGCTCCGTCCCTGGGGAAGCCCACCAGCCTTGCCTTCTTGGGTCTGCAGCTGCATCGAAGATGGGCTGGTATCTCTTGCCAGCTCGGCCTTCTCTCTCCCCACCCCCTCACGGGGCAGACTACCCTGGCCTGTCCCTCCTTCCTCCTCGTCCCCACCCTCCCACCCCCGTGCAGGGCTGCAGAGCGTGCCTGCCTCTTGTTTTCCAACCTCCCCGTGGGAGAGAGCCAGCTGGCGGCCGGGCCGGGGTCTGTTCCGAGCTAATAGTAACCATTAGCAGATCGGTGCGAGGCCGTCAGCTCCAGACCTCCAAGGCCGAGGCTGCGGCAGCCAGTCCTCACCTTCCCCTCTTCCTGGCCTGCGGGGTGTCACCACGGTGTGTCCCCAAGTAGGAGGGAGCCCTCGGGCAGTGGGTGGCCCCCAGGGTCCTCTGAGTAACGAGTGAGGCTTTTCACCTGATGAAGGTCAAGATGCAGGGGACACGTGCGGCCCCGCTGAGGCTGGCAGCCAGTGGTGTTGGCAGCTGCTGACCCTGACTGGCTAGTCCTCCTGCCCTGCCCTCTGTGTACCTGGCCCTGACCCCTGGCCTCAGCCCCTCCCGGGGCCCCTGCAGGCTCGGGGAGCAGGAGGCTCCCACTGCCCGCGTCTGGTTGGCAGAGTGGGTCTGAGGTGGGCGGTGGGCTGGCCAGCGACGAGCGCGCCTGCCGTGCTGGTTTCCTCCTCACGCGGGTGTGGCCGGTGCCAACCACATACTCGGCGACCCACCTCCCAGGGATGGAGTGAGGGCAAGAGACACTGGAAGGTTCCGAGCATGAAAGGCGTGTGAACAGGGGGGGCTTCTCCGGCGGGTCCTTCCCCCCCTCGCTGCCTGGCTCGGGCTCTGCTGCGTTGAGGGAGGCAGTAAACAGGGTAATGACACTCAGGTGCCCGGTCTCCGAAGGGCTGTCACGCCGGGCACCGTGAGAAAACACAGACGGCTCCTGGATGCGAGGTCGGCTCCTGCTGGGAGCACCACGGCTGTGACTCAGCACCGGCTCTGCCGCCCGCCTGCTGGGCTCCAGTCAGGGCTCTGATGGGGAACCGGGAGTCGGTTTTCCCCGGTCCAGCCGGGGTTCCGGAGCTGGGTGGTCTCTCTGCTGCCACTTCA